GAAAGGAAGACAAATACTGAAATAATTCTCAGACCAGAAGCGTTGTATTCTCGGATCTCCACAAAGTCATTTGTGCACTTGGAAGAATTTTGAATATCGAGGCCTTCTAATCTGATGGTAAGATAGTGACCCCTGGGACCTTGCAGAAACCATTCACACAGCAGGTTGTCTCGATAAGGAAGCTCAGGGTACCCCGTGCTTTCAATGACGCCAGTTTGTCCTGTCACTGTCCCGCCGCAGGGAGCTGCAAAAGGAAGAACATTGCTTGGTTCACTGAAGGGCCTCAGAGAGATGACCTTTCTCCTAACCAAGACTTAAACCTAAGGCACAACTGGCTTGTTCTCTCACTGTGGTAATAAATCAGGAATTGCCTTCCAGTTAAAAAATCTTCCACATTCTTCTAACTCAACCAGTCCTGGTTTGTTGTGTTGTTAAGTGTTTTGAGGTGGTTTTTTTTTTACACACCTCCTTCCATGGCAAGCATCCCTTCCTCTCTGTCATATCTATTATTAATCTGAATAAACTCAAAGATTTAAAGGTTAATCTCTACCCATGTCCATATTTGCCAGAGAATCTTGCAAAGCTGTATCCAATAATTATATATAGTTTGCTAAACATGGATCTAAATTTTTTATGACTGACGAAAGCTGACTGCTGGCTTGGGCCTACACCTTTGGCTCACACTCCCCTTTCCTGCAGTCCCTCCCTGTTCACATTCCACTCCTTCTGGTGCCTCAGTAAGGGATCACTGTGCCATCTGGGAACCAGCTATTTATTTTTAAGTTTATCTATTTGAAATCTCATTTCTCCATAGTACCTGTAAACTTAAGTTCATAATACTAAGGTTTACAGCAAATAACATTCCCAGGTGGAATTTATTGGATTTTACAGTGTATTCTGTGTGCCTGTTAGTTACAATCTTTGCGAGGCAATAATAATTGTGTTCATACTGTCTGCTCTTCTGAGTGATTAATATTTGTTCCAGCATGACTGGCATACAGCTGAGATATGTAAATCCATTATGGATAAATAGAAATCATGGCTTCATATACTAACAGTGGGGTTTTTTGCAAGTTGCTTCCATTTTCACATTCAGAAATATAATAGCACACTGGATTGTCTTAAGTATTTGAGACAAAAAGCACAAGCAGAAAAATTCCATGTAAAGCACTATAGTCCACTAGTTTCTCTTTGGGAAATAACAGACCTAGACTTTCCTGTATGAGTGATACTAACATAATAGCTCCTATTCTTTGAAGGTTAACATTATCAAAACTAAAAAAGTAGCATATTTCTGAATCTGACCAAATACTATTTTTTATTCAATTTTAGAATTTTGTTAGTGCTTTCTAATCCTGTTTTTGACGCTTGAGAGCAAATAATTTTAAAGTATTTCTTTTCCTAGGTGACAAATAATGCTTCTCACTGTTCTTTCCTTTTTGAGTTCATTGTGCTGCCCCTGTTTGTCTAGCAGCATTGTTATTAAAGATTGATTTACATTTACAGAGAAGCTCCTGATTTGTTCTTCTCCCACTGACTCACAGCTGATCTATACATTCCCCTTCAGGATCCTGCTTATGAAAGTGACACTAAGTTTGCATACTGAAAATCAAATCATGTTATGTGATTTTATCAATGTCAACCTTTTTTTCTACTGCCCCTTTGATAATTGTTTTTGACAAGAGGTTATCTAGCTATTGTTTCCACTACTGCAGATCTATGAGCACTTCCCTATTCCTATTTCCATAATTTCTCCCTCTTGCTATGTGCAAAACATGCTGATGTTAACCAATATGAGTATGAGCCTTAGCTCTACCACTAATTGAAATGGTCACGTATCTGTCAGTCCACCTGATAAGCATGATTTAAGCCCTATTACAAAAGCTTGACACTAGACACCAAAATATTCTCTAAAATCAGATAAACTGATAAACACGAGCATTACCCATGGAGTATTTAGCATTGAATCCCACGTGCGTAGCACTGTTGTCGGACCTGAACCTCAGGTACATGACAGCTCCTGAGGACCTCTGCGAGCCTGGCATCAAACCTCCACACAGCTTGGCAAGGATGGGAGCAGTGGAGTCAGCGCCGTCGCGTAGCTCTAGGTAACTGGAAGTGCAGCTGGCACAGGAGAAGAGAGAATTTTCTGTTCAATATATAGTTGTAAGTGTTTGAAATCATTTCAGTATGTGCCCAAAGCCATGAAGCTATAAGTGAATTAGATCAGTTTCCATGCATCAGTTTCCAGGACAGATTCAACATGTTCATAATCAATGACAGTTATGTGACATTTGAATCAAAAGAAGTGCTAGAAACGTGGAGAAATATTCATCCCAAGCCCAGACAGTGCTCAGAATGGATATTACAGAAGTAAGTCCTGGGGAGGGGTAAGAACAGCACTGGTAGTTATAACCATCTTTAATATTTATTTATTTTTGTCAGCAGATATTCCTTATCAAGTCTCATTGATGACTGCTGAATTAAGGAACAGAAAAGAATGAAAATTCAACTCTGGGGCTTACATAGGTCGGCATAGAAAGGACATGGAATGTCTTAATATGAAGCTTTGACTTCATTATGGTGCAGTGTTCTGGGAAACCAGAAAAAAAACACGTTTGGGATTCTCCATCCTACACCATTTTTTCTGGCCACAGTCTTATAGGTGAGCGTCACCTTCACCATATAGTGGTGCAGCTGCAAATCCATGACATGACATCAGCTGGAAGCTGGCCTTATTTTATGCTTCAGGCAAGGTGTGCAAAACATGTACACCCGTAGCAAATCAGCAGGCAGGCAATGGAGGAGGAAGACAAATTGCTGTGGTTGCAATCCCTTGGATTTAAAAGCAGCTAAGAGTCAAAACTATGAAAGGACTAGAGGGCACAGATTTCAGGGAAAGCACCTTTCTACCATAGATGCTTCCTCTCTGTCTATTATACTAATTTCTGTCACGCACTGCAAAGCCCTAGGAATGCAAACGATTGGCCTGAAAGCTTCAGTGATCTCTCTCAAAGAGTTCCTACTTGCTTTTGATTGTAAGTCTGGAAGTGTGCTCTGGGAGGAATTAGAGAAAGTAACAGGGCAAGAAGAATCAGAACGGAGTCTCTGAAGAAATCAGGCAGGCAAAATAATGTGGATGTATACTTTGGTGAAGGTTCAATGTAAAACTGATCTTCAAATTGCAGCTCTACTGCATGTCCATTAGGAGCTGTTACGATCCAGATGCAGTCAGCATGCGGGGGATAATTGCTTGGATAGTTGGGGGAAGATGTATATCCACTGGGGTTGAAATCATTGATAAAAATATTCCCTCCACAAGCTAGGAAAGAAAAGATTGCCAATAAAAAGTGTGTTAAGGAAATGGGCAAGGCATCAAAAACATGAGTTATCGCTATATTCCAACACAATTTTCTCTCGGTGTCATATAGTTGCATCAAAACCAAATGCATTTTACTGCTTACTGTGGGAAAACATTTTAATGCAATAGAATTCTATATTCCTGTGCTCCTGCTCACCTAGCCCTCTGTATTTCCAAATGTTCAGGGCCTTGAATGAAACTGATACTAGTTCTTCTTCAGATTGCTTCTAAATTAAGCAGGAAAAATATTTCTTACATTGTTTCTACCCCAATTCTCAAGTGCTAGCAAGCTTACAAGTCAGATCCATCAATGCTTCTGAGAATCTTTCCCTCATTCTGCTTACCAAAAACTGAAATGTCTGTTTGAGCAACAAGGCATGTGTGAGGAATGCCAGTCAGAGCAAACAGGAGGATTTGTTCAGGTCCTTTATCCTACAAAAATATCTTTATTTTGACCTGAATCTTTCTGTCAAAACCCTCCACCATGTTCTAGCAATACTGATTTGACACAAGGTTTTAGTCATGTTTTATAAATTGAACTGGCAGAAATACTATTGTACAGCTTCACCCATTTTCTTCATGAATCCCCTAGAGTAATGCTAAGAAGGATTCTTTGCAACAGCAGGGAGAAGTAGGCAGAAAATAACTACTTAAAATTTTGAGTATGTTAACAGGTTGCCATAGTTGTATTTAGGTACACTGTTTAACAGGAGGTCTCTCGGTGTCCCAAGCAGCATGTCATGAGTACAGTGCAATAAATGCAGGTGCCAAGTCCCTGATTTACTCCTCGGACCCAAGTCTCCATTTTTTTTTAAATTCTTCAAAAAAATATTAGCTCTGACAGGGAATGGTTTTTTTTATCTCAGCTGGGAGTAAAACTTGTGAGAAATGTTACCATCTTTCTAGACACACTAACCTAAATAATTCCTAACATCTTTTAGCACTTGCACTGGGTGCTATATGTTCAAAAGAATTTTCTTGTTTCCAGGGTTTTTTTCCCTTTCCTGTCTGAATTTTGAACATTTCTTTCTAACCAGATATGCTACTTTGCTGCTAAAGGGTTCCTCCTATTTTTTTTTTAACTTTTATATCTTCAAGTTCCGTGTCCTGGAGCTGGCTCTCTTTGAAAAGAAGAAATTTTGAGAGCAGGTTCAGAAGTGATGCACTAAAGAAGGAAATGGGACATTTTTGCAGACATCTGATTTCACCAGGGTTGGGACTCATAACAAGAACCTCCTTTAAGAGCACTAACTCCAAGTTACATCTATTGAGTTGCAGAATTTAAGTTTGTTTCCTAGACTTACCTAGACTCTTAGCTTCATATTTCAGTTTGAATCCTTGACCCTCATTCCTTCTGTCAGATACAAAGTGGATGAACAGCTGATTGTCTGTAGTGTACATGGTAGAGATGGGGCTGCTTCCACAAAACCGTCCATTCCCTCTTCCAGACACCAAAGGTGGAGCAGCATTATCTAACCCATTCTTCAGCTAGAAGAAGAGAAACTGCTTATGTCACTCAAACAAACAGCCCTGGAGTATAAACTTTGAGCACACACCATCTTAATGCTTCCAGCCATCAAGGAAAAAAATAACCTAGTGATTAATTAATGCACAGCAATAAATAAGAGAGAGAGAGAGAGAGAAAGAGAATTATTCTCTGTGGCATTTCTCTTTGGTATTTCCACCCATGACAACCTGGGCTGTCTTACTGATACTGAAATCTATAAGATTCAGTAGTTCTAATAGCTTTGAGGATTTCATGATCTAGCCAATAACCTCACCTCTACATAATCTCCAAGGTTGCAGGAAGTATCCTCACTCTTAACCTGGAAAGGTTGTTCAAAATGGACAGCGATGATAAATCCGGGGGTTACCACTACATGCCAGGAACAATTCAGATTAGGAGCATAGTCATGAGGGTAGTTGGGGGATGTTATCACACCCCTGCCTGTACGCAAATAGCCTCCGCAACCTGAGAAAAAAGGAGTGGAAGTGAAGAAAATCATTAGCATCAACTATACACACAGTCATTTAGAGCAAAACCCTTTCTCCTAAATGGGAGACGTGACAGGTAAAAGCAAACATTGAAGCAAGTGTATGAAGAGTTGAGGAGCACAGAGCAATAAATGATGCCCCAAATATGAGCTGGTAGGTTGCAACATGACAGACACCAAACATCTTGACAGTGAGACTCATTTCTCACACTTAACAGACGAGTAAGCAGGCAGCTGTTCCTAGGACCTCTCATGGCATAAGCATAGTGTTAGGCTGTCTGAGTACGTCATTTCTAGCCATGGATCAAACCACTGTCACCTACTCAAACTGCCAGCCAGAAAGACTTCCCCTGGCTGCCCACTGTTGTCCCAACACCCTCCTTTGTGCCTCAGCCCACTCAGGAACCGGTTATCATTGCTGTGTGCATGTGGGAGGAGTGCCACTGGAAATTGCTGACATTCCAGCTGGAACTTCCACAGTTTCTGCATCTGCCTCTCTCTGTGTTCATGTCTGTGCTTTGAGTCATTTATTTCACTCTCTTAGTTGGATGTTCTTTCACACTTCAGCTGAGCTGATATAAACTTAGGCATACACTTTTCTTACTTTTGAAAAATGACTGGTCTGGTTGAATCATGCTTTGTAGCATTATAGCATTGGGAACATAACTAGTTTTCCCTTTGCAGGTAGTATGCATTTATTAATGCATATTCATGAGATGTGAATAATTAGTATGTATGATTAATTAGAGAGATCATAGACAGTTGTTAAAAATTACAGTCTTTTCTTACCCCATTATTAGCAGCAAGACAGATATTTATGCAGAAATATATCTTACTTTTGTGATAAGAGGCATTAAACCCAGCTCCAGTGACACTTGCATCTGATGTGAAGTGGATGAACATTGCCTCTCCAGTTGATCTTATTGGCCCAGGAGGTTCTCGTCCACACACAGTAGCCAGCACTGGAGAAAGACTAGTATCTCCTGAGATCAAAAGAAGACATGTTAGTGTTAAAACCAAATCACTTCATATCTGCCTGTTGTTTGCTGTGGCTCAAATTTTCAGGCAGGTGCTTTTCAAGAACTTTAACCCTTGCAGATTGAAAAATAGTTTTAGAGACCACCAAATGTTTTGTTAGACTTTGCTAGTGTTATTTTATCTAGTAGAATGTCTCAGCATAGAGGAAGAATACTGATTTAGAGTATATTCCCATTGCTATCTAGATTGCTTAAGTTCAATGGACATGAGAATTCCAGGTACTGGGACCTTGGGTATCTACTGCATGCTGTCAGGGTAGGGCAAAATTGGCTTCTCACCATCTTGGATAACAAGTTTGTCATAGTTGCATGAGCTGTGAGATTCTATGTCTAGGGCCAGGATATTGAACTCCACAGTGGATCCAGGAGCTCTGATAACCCACATACAGTCAGCAGAATTTTTGTAATTCATGGGCCATCCGGGTGAGAAGAGGAATGAAGGTGTTTCTTCAGTTGTTACAGTCCCTCCACATGCACCTGTCACATGCAAGAAGACAAAAATGAATGCATCCTCTTTTTAAACTGAAGGCTCCCTTTATGTAATTTGAGATGACAGACCTATGGTTAAGCACAATGGGGGCACAATGATGATGTGGTAGTCACAGGAACGCATTTCTTCAACTTCAGTTTGGTCTGGGAGTACAAAACCTGAAGATCCTGACCTATAAGGATATCCCTGTGCTACCTGATGCAGCAACGATGTGATGTATTTTATCATGAGAAATATCTAGCAAAAGACCTAAGAGCATCTGTCAGAGTTTAACACAGGCTGCATATCAGAAAGGAATAGTGCATACATAACTAATAAGACATAAACAATTTAGATCCTCCTGAAACTGAAGTACTTTTCTTTCTCCACTCCTAATGCCTCAGCTACATGATTAGATCAAGACTGAGTCCTTGATGGGATATCTAGTGGCTCAGTGCTCTCCCAGCACATAAACCCACTACTTATTCTGCAGAACACTTAAACTCACTATATACTGCTACTATCCTGCAGAGCCCCAGGGATCCTTAGTTCCTCTATCCCCAGAAATCTGGCTGCAGGTTTAGAAAGAAGACATTGCATTACGTCCTTGTTAGTCAGTTAGTCTTAACCTTCTCTTGTTGAACTTCCTCAGGGAAAATAAAGGGTACAAGAGGCATAATGCCTCTCCTTCAAGGAGTTATTTGTCAGAGGTACGTGATCATACTGAGCATATTCTCTTTATTTATGGATATGAGGTGCATTATAGAGAAAGGTTTCATATCTGAATAGCCAGTGATTTAAGAATGGTATTTCAAGAGGGATAATTTTTCATGAAAGCATATAAAGCATTTAGCTTTCATGAAATACCTGTGTAAAGAAAAATGCCCCTCTCGCAACATGCTTATTTTCAAAACACTATAAAACAGTATATCTGCGAGTCCCTAGAAATTGTTTTTAAAAGCTATCAATTCTTAATTAAAATGTCAGTGAATGCTTTCTCTCCATTAATAGCTCGGGCTTTCTCTTGTGGGGAAGCTGGTTTGGAGATATTTTAAGTAAAGCTCAGTATATTACCAGCTATATCTCTTTTAACCATGCAAGCCATTGAAAACCCACCTCTAGCAATGGTGTGTGTAACAGCAGAAGCATCCACTGCATACCACTCCAAAAGAAAACCTCTTCCAGCCACAGACGAATCTGACTGGAACTGGATTGTCATTGAACTGCCAGAGGATGCAAAAGAAACAGGGTCTGCACCACAGTATGTTCCAATAAGACGAGAATGTATGGTGGGCCCATCATAAACCTGCAGAGAGAAGAATGGTGCCACTCCTCACACAGTCAGATTTTCATCCATCCCATACTCAGCAAGATTCCAAGGATAAAACTGCCCTCTTTAAATGACTGAGTTGGAGAAAAAAACTCTCTTACACAAATTGGAAAATCTCCCTTTCCAATATATACTGCTAATGGCGAAGCTTTCACAGAAGAAGGATCTGAATGGAAGCCATCAAATTCAGCTCATTCCTCATCACAGGGCTGCTCTTTGGGGACATGGACTAGCCTGTCACATTAAAAAAGTTCACTGGTTCAATCTTGTTCCTTGCTGAGGAGAAAAATAACGTGATCTGTAGTAAAAAGAGGCACTGTTTTTCTATTTTTTCCTTTTTCCTCCTGAGGAACACATACATTTTAAATCAAGCATATATATTTAAAATCAAGCAGAGAAAGTCCAAGTGCAGTATTGTTCCTTGTATGATTTAAAAATAACCTTATTTTTAGAGGCACTGAGATATTATTGTCACTGCTGTTCTCAAGTGAACCAGTACAGAGCAAATTTCAGTTTAGTATCTGAACTGAAATTGTTGGATTTGAAAATTCCTCACATGTAACCCTTCCTATAGCTAACAGTTACTGAATAATGACACAGAAAAAACTATAAGCAACACCAGATCTCTGGAAATTCTTCTTACTCCTTTTGTAGGTTTCTCTATTAAGAATTTTTATCAAAGTTAATTGAAATAAAATAACTTCTCATGACGAAATCACCTTTAGTTTGTCGTAATTGCATCTGTGATGATTTTCAGTATCCATCTGCAGGATACGGCCATGGATAACTTGTGAAGCATTAACAGTTATTCGCCACTGGTAATTGGAATTGTGAGGGTAACTTCTTGGCCACTGCGGTGAAGCTATTTGTCCTCTGCTTCCCACAATATCGTTTCCATACACTGAAAAGCAAGAAAGAGACAACTAATGCCTCTAATTCACATTGAGGAAAGAAGCATTGGCGTCTAGCCCAGAATACAGCTTTCATTTCAGCCCCTCTGACTTAAGTTACTTAGGACTAGACAGCGCTGTGAGGCTTAGACTTGTGTCTAAGAGACTTTTAGGATGCACGTTCAATTTTTTTCTTGTTGTAAGGGATGCAGTATATCCCTAACTGAAGGAAATTACCCATTCAATCCATGTGGCTCTACATGAAGTAGAGGTGGGAAGATGGCACATCTGAATTCTCCCAGCTGCCTACTTTATCTTCATTTTTTCCCAAGACACATTAAATAATTTTTTTTTTTAAATGCTGTGCTGGTTTTGGCTGGGACAGAGTTAATTTTCTTTATAGTAGCTGTGCTTGGGATTTGTGCTGGAAACAGTGTTGATACCACAGGGATGTTTTAGCTGTTGCTGAGCAGAGCTTACAAAGAGCCAAGGCCTTTTCTGCTCCTCATCCCATCCCACCAGTAGATAGGCTGGAGGTGCACAAGAAGTTGGGAGGGGACACAGCCAGGACAACTGACCCCGACTAACCCAAGGGATATCCCAGACCATATGACATCATGCTCAGCATATAAATCTGGGGGAAGAAGGAGGAAAGGGGCAATGTTTGGAGTGATGGTGTTTGTCTTCCCAAGCCACCGTCACGTGTGATGGAGCCCTGGTCTCCTGGAGATGCTGAACACCTGCCTGCCTGTGGGGAGTAGGGAACAAATTCCTTGTTTTGCTCTGCTGGCATGTTCAGCTTTTGCTTTACCTATTAAAGTGTCCTTATCCGAACCCACAAGTTTTCTCACTTTTATTCTGCCAATTAACTCTCTCCTCCATCCCACTGAAGGGGAGTGAGTGAGCAGCTGTGTGGAGTTTGTCAGCTGGGATTAAATCACGACAAACGCCTCTGTGTGTTTTGGAGAAAAATGGTTCTGATTTGATTGAGCTCTGAACTATTGATAATTCATTTTGAAAATGAGTAGTAAAAGTCTCAAAGTAAGAAAAATTATTAGAAGTTTAGCTTGCATAATCAAAACAGCTGTGAATGTCTCGCTTCAGCAGTCTGTTCATCCAGCAAGTCAATTTACATCTTTTTCTAATAGATTTTATTGTGCTAAATGTTTACTTTTAAAAATAATTTTAGAAGTGTTATGAAAGAATAATTTTCAATTGAATAACATTTACTTACAGTGAGAAAACATGGCCCTGAAGCCAACATCAGCGACTGAGCTGTCCGACACAAATTTGACCCACAGGACATGTCCAACAGTAGACGTATAATTTGAAGGCAAAGTGTTCCCACAGAATCGTCCTGCAAGCAGCCCTGTATCATTCCCTTCGCGAATCTCCAGGTAATCTTTGGTGCAGCTGCTACTATCTTCCAGCTGAAATGTTCTGTTTCGATAGCAGTAGAAGAGCATTAGCAGGCATATGACTGGCAGATACTTCAGGCTTTGCCCTGCCAGGCCACTAATCCCACTGTAGCTTGTATCCTGCCCTAACAGTTAAGAAGAGGGCAGCAACAAAACCTTCTAGAATTCAGAAATCACTGCTTGTCACCTGGCAATGTTGCCAATACAGGGGTCGCTCTTTTCTAGACCCTTATTTTACAACAGAGCTTCAGTTGTAATTTTTAAAGAGTTCTCAAGCCCTTGTAATATTTCTTGGTTCTCTAAAAAAAAATCATGAATCATGGGAAGCCCCTGATATACAAAACAGATTTTTAATACAAGCCCAGGCTAGACTACTTACTTAATGTACATCTATTAACCGTTACATCTATTTAGCCTTATAAATCAGCGTGCAGATCCTTCATTTGTGTAGAATTTCAGCACACTTCATGGTGAGAAAACAATTGCCAGAAGCCTAGATTCAGTTATAGTTAACACCTCAGAATTCAGAATCCCTTAGCAGTTTCCCCAGAACTATGAAGTATTACCATTTCTCTGGCCTCTTTGAGTTTCACATAGGTGGCTGTGCAAAATAATATTAAGCACTGCTATGAACTCTTCTAAAACAATTTTTACCTTAGAAAAATAATAGTATTCAGTAATAAAATTATAAATTCTTAATAATTGCACCAAGCGGAATGCTAAATATATTCTAAAAATCATCACCTGTTACTCTAAGTGAAGTGCTTTGATTCAATCCAATATACTTTTCAGAAGCAGGATATGAATATGTAGTAAAGATTTCAGAAAGTGCCTCTTACAACCAGTGCCCCAAATATTTCTGCTTACTGATTTTGTGGTAACAACTCCCCCTCTTCAGTCCTGAATACAACCACATATATTCCGTGTACACATGCTGTGAAATGGTTCCAACCCCTCAACTGGATATATTTCAGACTAATTTAAAGCTCACCCTCAAATTGCAAGACAGGCATTTCTGTTTGGACTGAGATGAAGAAAAGGAATGCCTCATGCCAACAATCCTTTATAAACCCCTAGTATTAAATTAAATAAAATAAATACTGCTTTCTAACACAATTACTCCATGCTTTGTAGTATTTTCAGCTTGCCTTTCAGCTATGTGTAACTGAGGAAAAATAGTTTACATCTACTGAATGTCACTTTATATAACTGTATGTATATTCCACTGGTAGTTTGTCCTTCACATGAGGTTTTTGGTTTTGGCCTGAAAAGTCGTTATTCATTAGTTTGTAGCAAATATTTTGAAAAATGTTTTCAGGCTGTAGTACTTTAGCGCTGCTTCAGTAAGTAAAGGAGGAATAGAATGCCCTTTTTATTGCATGAAGGAATCAGTACATGCTGAAAAAACTACACCATATGCAGTCAGCATGTTACTGGGCAGATTTTCCTTTTGTCCTGATTAACTGTAAATGCAGGTTTCAGAATGACTTTTCTTTTCCTGCTCATTCTTGACAAGCTTTGCAAAGGGTCAGTGCTTTCCTTCTTGGCAGCAGCCACTGTTTGATGCCGGGAAGCTGAGAGGTTCAGAAATGCGCATTGTGGGTAAAGAACAACCTAACAACCCTGGTAGAGGAATCCACGTTGTTCGGTGGATCACACATGACTTTCCAGTCAGAAGTCTTCAAAGGAAAGTTACTTTGCTGAAGGGAAAACAAAATTCCTTCAGATACTCTCCTGGCCCCTGTTGTATCTCTACTTCTGTAAGTGTTGGAGAAATTTCAAAGCATTTAATAGACAATCTGTGGAGTTTCTAGGCCCGTTATATTACTCAGCTATATAATAATTACTACAATGAACCTGGTAGTAAGGAAATAGGAATTTCCTTTGTAAAGCAAAGGCAGACCAATGCTAAATTTCCTCTTCTTGTTTATACGTGAGTGAGAATTGGCTTCTTCAGCATCCCGTGTTGCTCAAACAATAAACCACCTATTTATATAATGCTGTATATGCTTTAATATAAGCAATGACTGAGACAGGAGGACACTGATTGCAAGCTGCCACTAACCCCTGCTGTATTCTCTTTCCAAGTTACTTTTAAAACATGGTTCAGCTTTATCATCTGGTAATTACATTTCCTAATAAACACAGAACATCCTTCCTTCAGGTCTGCTAAAGGGCTGAGTAATAACCCCCGGCAATGCATTTACGTGAAAGACAGCTGGACCCGGTTGCCAGGGGAGCTGAGAATCATCCAGACACACTCGGTGTTGAGCGGATATAGCTCAGGATAGCCAGGGCTGCTGAAAGCTCCTCTCTCCATATGGAAAGTACCCCCACAGGCTGCAACAAGAAGGAGACAGTAGATGCTTGAGAAGGATTGCATTTTAAAAAAAATACCTTGACAGAGCCAGAGTTTTGCTAATCAAGAAAGCATTTCTCTTTGTCTCCTTGTTCTTTAGCTTGCTGATATACTTGTTGAGACCTTGGCCAACAAAAGAAAGGGGAACAGGGGATTTTAAAAGAGGGAATGTCAGAGAGACAAAGAGGTACAGGATCTGTTCTTTTTCTTAAAAGTCAGAGGCATAACAGAGCAACACTTGTCACATGGACTTACATGATGATGATGCAGCATAGGTAGCATGGAAGCCCCTAGCAGTAATGTCACTGTTGGAGATGAAATTCACCACCAAGGCATTACTAAAAGAAGTGACTGGATGTGGTATAGTAGTGCCACAGTAACGGCCTGGAAGAGAACAAGCCAGAGATTAAAAAAAAGGAGTGTTCAGCATGTAATTACTATTCCCAATTTAACATTTGGGGTTAATGTCTGACAGCAACCAGGAGCAAGATTTGTTGCTTACAGTTGCAGTTGTTAATTCAATCTACATAAAAACTGAATACCCCATTTCATTTGCACAGAACTCAACTCCAAGGGCTCTGTGTTTTTTTAGCACGGGAAGGACACTCCAGACAAGCTAGTCATTGGCTATTTTGTCATTGCGTTCACTCTGTCCAGAAATTACAACCTAACTGAAAAAAAAAAATCCCATCAAATATATCTGACACTAGTTTCCATTTCAGTCAATTGGTTTCTGATAAAAAACCCCAAACAAGTAACAAATAACAGACCAGTTCTCCTGTAACGGATTGTAAAATGGGCCTTAGCAATATGAATCACAATCTAGCAGAAAGGCATCTGACAGGAAAGACAGCAGCTAGTATCCTGGTCCTCTTGCCAAGTGAAAGCTAAGAGTAGACCAAAAAAATAATTCAGCTTTTAGTTATGAACCATGTAAACTGAGTGCAGCTTCACTCCTGACAAAAAAATCATATACGAAAGTGGAATAAAGGAGAGAATAATCAGGCACAGATACTCCAAATTTCCCAGAAAGGAATTTGGAGCAACCCTGGGGACATGAGAGGAGTCAGGATCACTCTATTGCCAGGGTTTTTTCAAGGCCTCCTGGCAGTATAAGCATGGAATTTTGCTGCTCCAGGCTGCTCCTACCACTTGAAGGTGATGGCTCTGGACAGTAGCACCAGGAGAAAGCTGTAGAAAATTCAGGAACAAGCAGAAAATCAGGCTTTCCGGGGACTTAGGAAAATCCGTTTTCTGCTCCCAGAAATCTGCAGCTTTCCTCATCTGTGTTTAGTATGGATTGTGCTTGTGAGTTATGTTATGGTTTTGTACAGTTAACTGGGAATTCAGTCTAAACTGAATATTGTTCAGCTGTGGAGGAAGGAAAAAGCAGCTGGAGCCAACCATACAGTGCAGGTTAGTAGGAATATAGTCAGACCCTGGGAGGATTGTGCAATTCCCAGTCTGCTCTGGTCAGAGTGGCCAAGGATCTCCGTCATCAGAGAAAATCCGTGAAGCACGAGGACATTCACAGAAAGCCTTGGTTGAAGCTCTGTATATGAAATAAACAACGGAAAGTTACAATACCTTGAAGAGGAGCCTCGTAGTTATTCCCATCCAAAATCTCCACAAAATCTGTTGTACAGTTTTGTCTGCTGTTGTCGATATCAAAGTCAGTGAACGAGAGTGTGACGTGGCTGACTGGGAACAACAAAGAGTGAAAACTTAAAAAATGTTTGGCAGTTCACAGGGAAATAATTGCATGTAAAGAAATGTACTGCCTTTTCTTTTCTCCCCTGAAGTCAATCGGTTCCCATAAAGTGTAACATCTGAACTAGTTTATTCCCTTGTATGTGGAGTGAATGTGATGGAAGTGCATTAACCCTTACTGCAAAGGTCCTGGTAAATATCTTCGAATTTCAGTACTTCCTAGTACAATCGCCATTGGAAGTGTGAGATTTAACACATACACGAGTCTAAATTTCCCGATATCTAAATAGCTTCATTATATACTGAAAGTGCCAGCAAATACAACATGGAAAATTTACACATGTTCAGAAACAAAACTTATTTCTAGACATCCGTGACCTTCTGTCCCTTTGCGATCTATACCATAGATCGCGACAAAATGTGAATTGATGCTGCCCTGCTCCAGGCTTAGAAAGAGCTGGTTCTTTCATCGTTTTGTAACATTCCACATACATCAATTGGACTAGTTAAAGGATCATTAGCTACCCTCAGCTATATTTGTACAGAATTGGATTTTCCACACCCTTGAACTGCAGGCTACGTCCTAAAAAGTGGACTTCTGACTCAGGATATTTTTGACTCTTGTATTGGTCTTGCTTATCGGGTATGAACAAAGGTAAAGTTACAACTGGAGGAAGAGAGGCTGTCCTCAACACCAGTCTGGATGAAAATTATTCCTGGACTTAGAGGTCCTATGCAGTTCGAGCAGGTCAGAAAGAGTCTCTCGATTTAGATAACTAAGCTTTCTCCCACATTGACCAGGTCTGAATGTGACACAAACATTTTGCTTCTCACTGGGCTACAATTAATTAGCTAGAATAAGCTGGAATGACAGACATGGACCCAGGCACTGCATTCAGTGGGGTGCCACCGACAGGCCGTCAGCTGTAGTCTGTGGCTGGGCACTCTTTTGTGTCCCATCCGCACAATCAATTCCAGCTATCAATGCAGGTCCCCGGGATACAAAGTAAAAAGGAAAAACACAGTGGGTGGCAAGACCAGGAGACTCGTTGGTCTTCTCGGTAAAAGCAGAGCAGGGACTCTGCTGTGCTTTGCCATTGGCTAAATCCATTGTAGATGGTTTACAAGGGCGTGTAGTGACAGGATGAGGGGCAGTGGTTTTTAAGCTAGAGCAGGGTACATTTAGATTAGATGTTAGGAAGAACTTCTTCACTATGAGGGTGGTGGAACACTGGCACAGGTTGCCCAGAGAGGTGGTGGAGGCTCCAGCCCTGGAGGCATTCAAGGTGAGGCTGGATGGGGCGCTGAGCAACCTGATCTAGTTAAAGATGTCCCTGCTCACTGCAGGGGTTTGGACTAGATGACCTCTAAAGGTCCCTTCCAGCCCAACACATTCTGTGATTCTGTGGCTGTGCCCTGCAACATCGTGTCACTGGCACAAGGAAGCCACGTGTACCTGTAATGTGTGGTGTATGGTGGTTCTGGTGGGGAGCGGAGGAAGTCACTACACACAGAGGCACAGAGGCTGTACTTCTCGTACAGCATTTTGCTGGTCTCTCCTGCTCTTGTAACTCAGGAGACAACAGTTAATATATGAGTTTTCAACCTGGATCCAGGAAAAGATTGTCTTTAAAAATAAATTTTGTGCAGGTGAGGAACAACTTTGTTGATGGCCTTTTTGTGTACTTGTGTAAGAACTTGTGCTAAAAAAAAGTAGGGCTTTTCTCCTGATTTTTGTTTTGGTGTTTTCTTTGAAAATTGGTTTTCAATTCTATACTTGGCAAAATAAATTTATAGATGTGGTTAGAATATTCCGTGATTTTAAAAACAACGGCTGAACATCAGATGGACAACTGAAGTTCAGTGGTTTCTATTAAAATAAACATTAATTTTCAGTTATGTTACCAGGATGTTATTCCAGTTGTAAATAGTTTTTAGGAATCTTATACAATGCAGAGGTCATACTGGATATTAAAGGTATCTGATGGAAAATATTTGGAGTTTTGTGGTCAATCGTAAATCCATGTAAAATTGTATAGGAACATCTGAGAGCGTATCTATGCACATAAGACCAATTTATTTATATTTTTTTATTTGTATTTGAATTGAAATTCCTCTGTACCTTTTCTCATTATTTTTTTTATTTTATTTTACCGTTAACAGCATAGATTTGATTTAACACAACTCTAACTAGAAAAATCTAGATCAAAACTAGGTCAGCTAAACACAAGTGCTTTAACTATGTGTAAACCCATGGATTTTTCTCACAGATAAATCCAACTTCACATAGTATTCAACACTTCATTTAAAACTGCAACACTTCAGTCACAGTAAATCAGCTAAGATGACAAATTTGTAAACTGTTTTCCTCACTATGCACTAAATCTTTTACAGTGAAATCTGACTTAGGACAGATTAGGAGAGCCACACTCTCCAACTACCAGGATGCAGAACTTCCTAGAGAAATAAAGGAGGAATTTTGTATTGTTATTACAGAAAAGAAGATGAGGATGTTAGTCATCCCAGCTAACTATAAAAGATGTTTTTACTTACATGGTTCCTGAGCCTGAATAATCCAGCTGCAGTTCTGATTGTCTGGGTATTTGGCAGGATACAGAGGAGAGGAAATTGCTGCCCCAACTGAATCTGACTCTATGAAACTTCCGCATGCTTTAGAACGAAACACACACACACACATATAGATCCTTATATATACAAAACACGTATCTTAGATTCTGTAATGAAAGTGAATGCATAAAATGTAACATGCTACAGCAATGTGAAATGCAGATAAAATTCACACCACTAATTTATCAGAAGAAGAGACTTAAGGACAAGCACCCAGCACTGGGTGTACCTTCTTGACCTGGAACCACGGGCCACACTGCACCTGGCTGACCATCTGAGAGAAGCTTATAGATCTCATCTTTAACAGCTCCCCATAGCCTAGAAGAGCAATACCGGGACCAAAATAACTCAGTTTCAGGGTAGTGCAATCATATACCCATTTCTCTGATCATTTGCTCGTGTTGGCAGCTAGGAAGAAAAATACTTTAAGAAACTCCCCAGAACCTTCCAATGGCCAAGGATGGCATCACGTTGCTTTAGCATGATCCTCTTGTGAGCTGCATCAACTAAACTGCAATCATGTGAAATGTTGCACATGTGTAAGAGCTTGGCTGGCTGCATAACTTTGGGAAACAGTGCTGAGGGCTGCCGCTCCTCATTTCTAAGCACACTGACTCATCCTAAACCCCCCGGATCCAAGTTTAACACGCAGCTGCTTTAAACAGCAGAGTGGCGAGTCAAGTACCAAAGACTGAGATTCATTTATTGTGCTCTGCTGCCTAAAACAGCCATCAGGAGATGGGGTTTTCTTAGGAAGAGGGAAGTTGGGCTGCCTACATCCTAGGTAGGGAGCACTTGCTCATTAGGCATGTTTTGTGCAGTGCCTAATCCAGTAAAAGTGCTCTGAGAATGTTTGATTAGGATCTATAGTTGTTGTCAGAAATGCCTGATTAGGTATCTAATTAGTACCTCAGTGACTGGAGTTCCATATTCAAATTCATCCTTTTCTTTACATGTTGTTACAATATTTTCAAGGAAAAAGAAAATCTGGGAAAATTACTAATTTTTAGTGAAAATAATCCTAAAATAAAATTGAGAGAAAGGGATTCTCCCTGCAAAAACTAAAGGGTTATATCTTGGGGAAAAATTGTTACTAAAGTTATCATGAAAAAATGACAGAAAATCACCAGTTGTCAAATAGTATGTAATTTCATGGAAAAAAATATGAAAAATTCTGCCCAGTTGGTGTAATTTTTTATTAAAAAGGAAATCATGTAAAATACCAATTAGTCCTTCACAAATTGGACAGTTGATGTTTGGCAGGGTTTGCAGGCCTAAATCCATGAACTTCATCAACAGCGCCACACAGAATTCTTTTATAGCTTTTCAGATTCATGCGCATGGATAGACATATAAAATGTTATTTTGTCACTAGGTCTGTGGAAACTGCCAGTTACACATTTTTCTCAGGACAGTTATGGGTAGCTAACACTCTAGGCAGGAGGAATAAGAGGCAACTGATGTGTGCTAGATGCCTTGACATCAAAAGTACATTTTTTTCCCAATCACAGAATCTAAGATTTTAATTCTATAATCCATAGTTTGGAAAAATTCACTCCTCTTAAAGGTCTCAAGTGGTATGCTGCATGTCTCAGAACACCACTTCCCATTATGAGCTGTGCTAAAAGATTGCATCTAATACAAAGAAACTGGTGATTAGAAAAATATGCATTAATGTAAATGACAAAATTACATTCAGTAAAACGAGCACTGAAGCCTCTGTACTGGAAAGTTGCATCAGAGCGCAGTCGGATGTACATCAGATTCTTGGAGGATGTGATAGGAGGAGGATGCTGTACTCCACAGAGTTTTCTAAGAAGTGGTGCTTCATCGCTAGGACCATCATATACCTGTTACGAAAAGATCAAATTAAGTGTTTTGCTTTATAGGAGTATTGAGAAGACTTGTATTTCATTCCCTCTCTTATGTTTCATACATTTTGATCCTGATACAGCCCTGATATGGGCAGTACAAACAAACTGTGCATCGCCCATCTTAATTCTGTGATCATTTTAAAAAAAGCTCCATGTATTTTATGCTGAAGATACTGTAGCCTTTATAACAAAAATGCATCAAGTATCCACCTTCCTCTGTGTGAATATGGTATGGAAGCAACTCTCCTTTAAGAATCCAGATATACCCATACATTTATTTTTCTCTGGTAATGGCTAACATGAGTTCCCCTGTAGCTTTTATTCAGTTAAAGCCTATATCTTGCCTCAGTAAAGGCTTCTAAATCTGCACTAATGTACATCTAGTGCACCAGCAGGAGCTATGACTGTATAAAAAGAGAAGACACTAGGATTATGGTTTTTACAAACATGTACCTGGTATCAAGGCTCAGAGTCCATATACCTATGCTTTACAGTATCTTTAGGGTACAGAATCACACGAAATGTTACTTAAGCAGATGAGAAACACAAAAAAGGGAGGAAGAAAGCAAAGATGGTTTTACAAAATTTCACTTTATCACAAATGCCTTCCTTTTCTTTTTCCCCTTTACCACTGATAATCTTGTTTCCTTCCTCCTTGTTTCACAATCAGGAAGAGGATAGTGAAGGTAAAACCAATAAGTTTCTAGCTTAAGCAACATCAAAATTATAACAAGGGAAGCTACAGAGATGGAAAAATGGCCACAGTCTCGGTACGCCACTCTTTTTCTTAGAACTCCAGCAGACATGAATTGTTATTGCTATGTTTGAGCCCACCTCTGAGCCTTTGTGCCTGGTTTCAGAAGTGATGAGCACTGGAGCCATGAGCAGTTGCATGACCCACAGAGGAAGAGTCTTTGGGCTACTGGGCAGCAATAAGACTTGAATTCAACTCCTGCTTTAGTATTCATGCCCTGCATTACCATAGGGATGTCATTTAATATAACCCGTGACTCAGCTTCCTATAGCAAAATGGAGAAAAATACACATAGGAGGGCCGAGAGATATTCAGGTGCTAGGATGTTCAAAGCTATATAAAAGCTCACTTTGAGCAAAATAATGCCATTGTTTTAGAAGAAATGTACTTCTCATTGATTGTCTTCTTTTACTTCAAAATGCTTCAAATTCCAGTGCTTGCAATGCCGCACTAATGAATTAAAAATTTCTAACTAGACTATATAACATAATGCAATGTTTCTACCTCCAATATTCAAAGGCCTTTGATCACATTAACGGAAAGAAAATTTATATATATACATATACATATATATACACACATATATATATAACCTGTAGCTGAGAGAAAGGTGACCTGTATCAAATAAACCTCAAGGATGGGAAACAAAGGACAAAACTCCCACTTAATCCACTGACATGCCCTACATAGCCAATGCTGTATTCATGAATTAAACATTTGCCCTTGGGTCTATAACACTAGTTGGCTGTGTGGGACCTTTTGATGGAGTATTAAGAGTACTGCAATGTCTGTAAAAACGGGTACCTTGTAAAGAGACCCAAAATATCCATCCATTCTACCTTTTCTTCTCATTTTCTTCTCTGCCACAATCAGCCCTCTAATACATAGTGTACAATGTTTACTCTCCCTCTGCAAATACATAGCCTATTTATAAATCAGACTGCGTGGAGTTAAAAACCACAAATCATGGGATGTGAAAAAAGAATTATGACTAAAAAAATCACAAAAATTAAGATGCTGTCTTAACTAGTGAGAGGATTTTACCTGAATGCTAGAACTGAGAATAAGCATTGCATTGACAGAGTAGAGAGAAAGGGCCTGGCTATAGTTACACAAACTGCTGCTTTTTACGGATCTGTGCCACTCTGGACAGCTGGGGATATGACCATCGATGCATGGACTGCTGAGAAGCTCTAGGAACTGAGCTTTCTCACTTGGGAAGTTATTATGGGTGAGTAACATAAGAGACCAAGAAGGCATTTCATTCCAAGAGCTTTGTGGAACAAAGAGGTCTTTCCATGACAAGACTGTGAGAAGAGCGTGAAGTCAGAAGAATGTTTTCTAAATCAAGTGTATTTGCTGTTTCTGGGCATCTTGCTTCAAATATAGTACTGTCTCCTCTTCCAGAGATGCAAAAATTATTCCTAGCCTTTAGACTTGCTAAAAATCTGATTTTAGCAACAGTTCAGCAAAAGCACTAGTGAGATACAGCAGCAACTCTTAGGAGTTATGGCAGCTACAAGTTATGCAGGAACAGTGACACATGGATACTCTATGGCTGCACCATTTTCGCTCACCTGTTATTTATTAACTTAAACTATTTTATAGGGAGGATTTCAGTCTTGAATCTAAATCAGAAACAACAGTATTTATATACTAGTTCAGAAGACTTGTGTCTTTCTGCAGCTTCATAAAGATATTTTGAAATCATCTGAAAAATGCATTTCTGTGGCTGCGTGAGCAAAGGAAGATGATACATCTGCTTACTTAAAAGCCAAGTTTGCCTTTGCATCGTGCATTGCAGTAATTTGCTCTTCTCTTTCCTTTCCACAGTGAGCACAGCTGAGTGACTAATTGCCTCCCTGTTCAAATCTGTCCTGTATTTTGCAAAATTGCATGGCAAAAAAAAAAAAATCATTCTTGTCTTCTGAGGCATAAAAACTCCACATATTTCTAGCTATCCCCTCTTGGTAGATCCTCTCTGCCAGCACCTCGAATAAATAAAGCCGTAGCTCCTTTCTAGCTCCCAGAGGCTTACATTTCTACATTCCTGTGTACTACTTGTTACACTGCAACAGGAAAGAAAAATAACATTTACTTAATCAAAGCCACTGAAAAGAACAAACTATTTCTTCCTCCTCCTCTCAGTGCCCTGTGCTATAAGCACTGCTTTCTGAAGCACCTCCTCCTCAAGTCTCCAAATACATTAAACTCTTACGGACTTCTATTCCCAGTGTAGTGTCAGGTACAATACTGGTTAAACACATGAGCAAAAAATACAGGAATAAGCGCATTTGCTATTTATTTCCTTCTATTTTCCTTCAAACAAACACACTTGTTTGTTATAAGACATGTTCTCCAGATAGAAATGGGCTGGTACACAAAAAGAAATTAAAAATTTATTGTTTATCTATGGTGACAGTGGCAACAAAAAGTCTTCTCAAAGATCTTATGCTTTCTACAGAATATAACTGCGCTGTGAGAGAAAGTAAAGGCTATATATCCTCATTTAGCAGATGAAGAGATGTTCATCTGTTCTGAGAACAGATAAGGTGCAGAACTGAGGCACATAAATGGAGGAATCAACTAGATTTAGGCAGCTGAGCGAATGAAGAATGTGCTTTTTGGTGGCCTGGAATATTCTGCACACTCCATCCACTGACTCTAGAGGGAGCTCAGAGCAGTTACACTGTGGGTTACCAGTGCAAGCTTAGAATTAGTTTGGCTGAACTTAGATTTGTGCTCAGATTCACATATGAAATCATTGAGCAGAACTGAAGAACACATTGGGCTTTTGGGAGGTGCAGCATTGCCAAGAAGTGGCAGACATAAGTATTTTCTCATTCTCCATTTTGCTCACATAACAAATGTGGAAAAATATTACAGGGAAAAAAACCAACGTATTTTCACGTGTTCTCCATAGAAAGGAATTTATGGTAGAACTACTTAAAAAAAATTTCAAGTCATAACACAGGGAAAAATGACTAGGTCTAGAAAGGGAAGGATGAAGGAAAAGGCCGTTGGAACACTCAGGGGTGGAGAGGAGCCCTAAGAGAACTCGGAGAACACATAAAATCCATAAAGATAATAGAAAATCTAAGAAATAGAAAAGGGTGGAACCACTGTGTTACTCATACACAGTAGTTATTCCTATATTAGAGAAAGAAAAACAACCTACCAGCTTCCTCAGCTGTCCGTATTTTCCATTTACACAGATTTTGGAATGCTATTCCAAAACCATTCACAGTCATACATCTACCTACATATTTCCAGGCACCCTCTGTTCTCCTGTTACCATCTGAGGCATATATCAAGCCTTGGAATGAACACAAATCACATCCAGGTGTTGGTAACAAGAGATTTCCTGCTTATTAGCATACCAGGTAGAGAAAGAAACCTCATCCACTCCTTTTGTGCCCTGCTGGTCCCCCTACACTAGCACTGAAGAGCTCTTCACTTCATACACCAGAGCCTCAGAGCCCTTCATTATCCCTTGGCTTCAAATCAGCATTCTCCCTTATCCATTTTCAAATCACCTTCCCCTTGGTGGGCAGTGACTGATGCCTGTGTTAAATTTAAATTTTCCATGCTCACGTTGCTGCTTCAGTTGCATTTGCACATCTGAGCACCCTCTATCTCCACCCCCACCCCCAGAAAACACCAAAAAGCAGAAGCAAACAGCAGATACTCCTATGGCAATACAGGAAAACGGATGTCACTGCACTGCAATGGCTGCAAACTTTGCTCATGCAAAGAGCTCTGCCACAGCTATCTCCTCTGTCAGCTGAAGGACTGATGCCTTTCAGTGATTAAAAACCTAGAGCCCACATCTGGCCTATAAAGGTAACGCAAGTTGCCCCTGTACCTGCAAGGAGCTCATGGAACTGAGTACTCTGCAAAGTGTTTAGATAGGTACATACATCCATTGGCAGCAGGTTTAAAAGAGAAGCCTGTATATTAGTCTTTTTTCAGAATTTAGCCCTTAATTTGTAATTCTTGGGGGCGCATTTTTACCAGTGCTGCCATCTCAGACAGCTTGTGTTCATCAGGCAATCTGATTTTCTACTCCTGTGTGATATCTCAGGCTTGGAATTTTTCCCCAGTAGGCTTTTCCTTTCAACGATCCCCTTGATGTAGTTAAACAATTTAAATAAAAAGACATAACTATATTTCCCTATGCTTCAGAACCAGAAAAAAAAAAAAAGAACAGTTATTGTACAAAGATGTTTCATGGGCAAATGAAATCTTCAGTTCTGCTCAGCAAAATGGGGACACATTTCCTTTCTTCTGGTTCAGTACAAAAAAGCTTTACGAGAGATGCTGTTAAAACTGATGCTGTTTTCAAAAGAGTCTCAGTTCATGCCAAATTGAGTTCTTGCTGAATGAGAGTTTATCAAAGAGAGGAAAGCTGCATTTTGAGCTACAGCCACTGTGCTCTATCTGACTGGTACTGATCCTACATGCCTTTGTACTGAGCGAAGTGCAATCTGACATCAAAGGTCAGGATTTCATGTCTCTGCTCCCAAAAGGCCAAGCTGAGACGTGGAAATTTGTTCCTTGTCATGCACTAATAGACAAGCAACTTGAATTTCTGTGACATCAGGGAAAGCTCACAAGCCAACAGCAATGGGAAGCTTTTAAGGGAGCAGTGGCTCTAATGAAGCAATTAAACAGACAGCCGAGGAGCACCTAAACACACAGTGTGTACATAAAGAAAAAAAAAGACAGCTGCAACTCCTTCTGCATGTAGACCTCTCTCTTTCCTGAGTTTATAACAGAGTTTGGGCAATCTATTCTAAATGTGGCAGTCCATCCTATGGCTTGGAGCAAGCTGTTTTAAACTGCACTATAAATGGGAAAGGGTCATAACAGCCATCTAAGCACAAGGTTACTCCTCTGGTCCTAACCACAACTCACATCACCAAAACGAAAAATGTGGTGCCAGGATGCAGTATGTACTGCTTTTAGGAAAAGATCCTTCCAGATATAAGTGGGAACCCAGAAACAGGCAGAGATGCATTTGTGAAGCTTGCTTCATCGGTGAAGCAAAGGGAACTAGATCATAACGATTTAGCTGTAAATTTAAAACTTAGCTCATCAGTGAATAAATATGACTATACAACTACCAGTCTGAAAGGAACTGCAGCCTAAGTCGCACAGTAAGCGGCTTCTTCTGCAAGCATTTCACCAGATCTATTAAGGAAGCTTTTGAAATTTCTCTTGTTACTTACTGCAACACTGTCATAGTCACATGAAGGGTGATTTTGAATGTCAAAATCCGTGAAATTCAACAGGACTCTGTGGCTGTAGTCAACTTGGATGACCCAAGAACAATCTGTGTTGTTATTATAAGGTTGAGGATAGTTTGGAGAATGGATTTCCCCACTGGTAGCTTGGAAAATACCACCACAGCCTGAAAAAGACATAATCAGTTTTAATCACAAGCTCTTTTTTGTTTAGTGAGATTGCACCTCTAATTTTAAACTAAGAAGACTTCTGTCTTTATATTTTCTACATTAAACTTTCGTAAGATGAGCACTCCAACTGTTGGAAGTGTCATGCCCACAACAAAAACCATTGAAAATTACTATCCAGAAAGTATAGCATTATCTTTACTGGTGAACATGCAACAGCAATTTCTGTGAGTCATGTTTTTTTCTAGCCCCAAGCTGGTCGTAAATGTTGTAAAGGCTAAAGCATTAGTGCTGGTATTCTTCTATCCTAGATATTGTAAAAGCAAACCAAAATACCTAGCATACCGAGAAAGCAATGACTAAGCCTAGCTGGGCATAGGGGTGAGAAAACCATTTCTGAAAATATCAAGACATCTAGGAGCTCCGCTTTCCCCATGAACAGTACAACAGTTGCAAGCCTCAGGTTTCTAAACGCAGTTTTGAAGGCTTCCAGAGGACTCCACCCTCAAATATTTCTGACCAGAACAGCTACAGTGCTCCTGAATATCTAAATAGCCTGGAATGATGGATCTTGGGTGAGAACTGCAAGGGCTTTCAATAGGGTAAACACAAACTAATGGACTTTTATATGTTGTAAAGGCACCAAGGAGGGTGAGAGATAGACATTGGGACTGCTGTAGGTGGATGCTGCTGGCTGGAAGGATAAAAACTACACTGTTACTGTGTCCTGGTGAGTGGGTATTTTAGAAAATAGGTGAGGGTTGGAGTACAACAGGGGAGTTGCTGAAAGGGATAAGAAAGCTTCAGAGGGCCCGAGTAGAAAAAACAAGCTGCCAGACCTCAGAAAGGCATTGATTCAAAGGAGTACTGTAGGCTTGCTTTATTTAAAAAAAATAAAATCTTGTGCCTTTCTCATAAAACTTGTGAGAATGGAGAAGTATAAACCCTGACAAATTAATGAATCAGTGTCCTTAATCAAGTAATACTGCAAGAATTAAAATCTGCCTTTCCTCACTTTTCATTGCAATTATCTTCCAAAAACTTCCAAAAACTGATATGTTGTTGGGTCTTCTAAGCATATCTTTTCTTTTACTAATTACTAGTAAGGCTTTGAACAAATAATCACATGGGGGATGGACAAACCTTGCAGAGTTCAGGTATTTACTAATCACTTCAAACATTTTTGGAGATCACCAAGTTAAGCCATATTCTCAGATATTTTTCACTTTATAGTCTAAAATCAAAAGCATCATTCAGCTAATAAAATGCTCTGTGTGGGTGAGTGGGTGGGGAGAACAGCTAGCATACAAAAGTTCTTTTCCGGTTACAGGAATGTCTTGATTAATTATGTAGAGAAGAAACCCCAGCAAGGTAGACTGTTACAGAATACAAAACAGGCCTAAGTTTCAGCTAGTTAGGCAGGTTTTTTTCAGCACCTCTTGGTGCTACCAAATCCAGTAACACTCAAATTCTCCTTCAGTTTTCAGTCCTATGCTCTTTGACTTACTTCAAATGCTTGCATGACTAATCTATAATTGTCAGACTTCCTGAATTTCCCTTGGTATTAATCAGTATGCTCACCACCCGGATTTTCTTGCCAGGAGGCATTAAAACCTTTCCTTGTCACTCCTTCATCTGTCTTGAAACGGACAACGGCTGAATTGCCAGTAGTAGAGACTCGCAGCGGGTTCTGTGCTGATCTTGAAACACACAGCTGGGCTAGTCTAGGAGAGAGGAAATCAGGGCCACCATAGACCTAGAAATGGAAGAAATACTGTCAAAGTTTTTCAAAGACACCATCTGCTACACAGAATAAATGAGAACTGTTTAGCTAGGAGAAAAAAAGAATAAAAAGGTCTGTAAGTATTGAAAGTGATTCCACATTTTGAAATGCAGAGTAGCTATTTTCTCTGGAGGTTTACTTGGTATCCGAACCACCTGGCACAAGCCTGAAATTCTAGATCAATTCAGAACAGCCTTGCATTAAATGAGAATTTTTCGCTTTGAGGACTTTGCCACATTCTTCTTCCCCCATCCCTCCAGGGTTAGCACCTTATTTCTGTGGGGATAGAAAAGCAGATTTTTTTGTGTACTTGTACAAAGAAACTGTATCTCTTTGCAGGAACTTGTGCTGTTATTTTGCATCTTTTATGTTTAAAGAAACAGTTAAGACTGATTTTTAAATTGGGCCTAGATTTCATCACTCTTCCTGATAAAACAAAAAACACTGCAATTTTATTGGCTTCAATGGGAGAATCAACATCTAAACTACGGGATTTTGGTCAAGTAAACTACATTTATAATAATACCCTTTGGAAACAAGGATATTTATCATACATACTTCCCACAGAAGATAGGTTTTGACTTTTAAGAATATTTCCTACTCAGAAGAGTGTGCCTCAGGCAGCTACAAACCAGAAAACCACCACTCTCTTAGACATCATCATCAGTATTGTGTACTTCATAATGCATTTTCATACCAATTCAGAATGGCAGTGCTGAAGCCTTTTTAATCCAGTTCCTTGTTTTCCAAGGGGGATATGGGATTTTAGTTTGTCCCCATTACAACTGGTGGAACTGGCTCACCTTCCTTAGTTTTCCTTCTCAAAGCTGAAGAGAACACACATGCTCAGTGCAATTTTCAGAACCAGACGTGATTTTGGTGCCCAATGCCTTCAACGATTAAGATTTTTTGGCTTCTTGCATGCTAATGAAATGCCACCTGATATTAAGGGTCCATTGGTATGTCCCTGTTAGGAAAGCAGCTGCAAAAGTCAGCTTGACAGTAACCTCAGATGTGAAAACTGTTAGAGATACATCAAACAAAGAGCATGTTATTGTCTTTGAACAACTGAACTTGCAATAGATAGAGTCTCATTGTATCAACGTATATTAGATATAAAGTCTAAAGCTAAATTGCAGAATTGCAAGTTCTATCAACAAAACCAGGGAACAGGAAGATAAAGCAACAAATCCCATTAGGATTTTCATACCAGTAGCATCTCTGCTCCAGTATTTTATTAATCTAGTAAACTTCAAAAAGGTCAAAGAAAGCAATCCATGAATCTCTCAGAGAGTGGCAGTACTCTAAGAACCAACCTTCTATGTGGGCCTTTTGCCTCTGATGAAGGGAAACTCAGTATTTTAATAAGCTCTGACAGATTTTTTTTTTAACCTCAGAACAAGTCTGGATTCTATCCAAAATAAATATCTGAGCAAGTCTTACAAGTAGCTGAGCTAGTCCCACCACCTCCTGGGCTAAGTGTAGTTCATTGCTACACACTGATTGACCGTGTGCTCGCTGACTGCTCATGTTAGAGGTATAAGGGAAAGAATGTTTTCAACTGGAAAAAATATTCAGTGACTCTAGGATAGTGTGAGACCTCAGAAGCTGAAGCTTGTACCCACAAAAGAAAAAAGGAATTAATTTTTTGTTTTATAAACTCCAATGTCTGTTAGATGTTCAGAAGACTTTGTGTTTTTTTCAGTGGCTGATTACACAGGCTTAATAACTTAAACATTTCAATTTTGACTGAGACAGCACTTTTTGTATTCTGCAGGGAGGCTGCATGACTCGAATGGATCCTCTGTCCAATCAGTCATCTCAAGGCATTCAAAAGAAGTCAAAATGGATGAAATCACAGCTCAGATCAAGAATCTGTAACGAAGCAGTCACAGTCTGGGGAAGAAGCATGGTTGTCCGCTGGAAGCTCAGTGTCTTCAGCAAAATCTTCCTGCTTGGCTGCTTGTGAAGCCCAATGACAGCTGCATTTGTCAGAAGTCTGTTCAAAATGTGAAGTTTAAAATGTGGTTGCGGTGTACTCCTTGAGTCAGAGCCACAGCATGAGATCTAGCAGGAACACATGCTTTTAATCATCTAAACCAGCCCAGAGAAGCTATGTGGCAGAGGAAACAGCAGGAATACATGTCTAATAAGCATCATGGACCAGCCTCTCGCATCATCCCTGCTCTCCCCGGGGCCATCTGCACACCATGGGCAAGGGGACCAAACCCAGCTCTGACATCAGCCCTTCTGCTTTCTGTAGCAGTACCTCAGAAATGAACTTGGCCCAAGTCAACACTTATAGTGGATCTGCTGGAAGAGAATTAAGGACGGGGAAGAAATACTCATAGAAATCTGAGGTTTGTGGGTCTCCTTTACATTGTTAACTATTGGTAATGGCCATCTACACAGTTTCAAAATAAAAAGCTCTCTACAGTTAGGACTGTATTTTCTTTACTAACTTATGCCAGTTCAATTAATCTGGTGCTTTCACAAGGGCTGGAATAAAAACAAGTTAGAGTGTTTCCATGACAAAAAACAATAAAATGTTACTTTTGGCTGCAAAGAGGAAAACCAATAGTTACCAGATGAAAAAAAAAAGAAGAGGGGAAAGAGAATGGATGGAAAGAATGAATTCCAGGGTGTGGTTCACAAAGAGTCACAGGATGTCTGAGCTGCAAAGAGATAAAAATAAAAATAAAAACATTTAGTCTGACCAGAGCATCTGATCCAGAGATAAAATTATGTTTGATGGCACTGCGGGCCTGCACAACAGTGTCATAAAGCCCATGGTTTTAATCTGTTCTTATCATTTGCTTCTGCCCCGTTAGCTCCATTTATTGTTAACAGTCAGCATTCCAGAGTTATGAGCAACAGAAAGCTGTTTTTATGTGGTTGGTCACTCTCATGACACAGATTTTCTGGGAATAAAACTGATCTCTGTCCAGATATAACTAGTAGCAAGGAGAGAGCCTGGTTTTGGCAGAGAATTAAGAATTACGGTAATACTTGATGTTTCTTTATATTTAAATCAGAAGACCAAAGCATCTAATAAAGGCTTGGAAGTGCAGTAGATTGACAGGGCTCCTTCCTTTTCAGCTCAGAGCTACATCTTGCTATGGTAGAATATGATTATAGTTCATAAAAATATAGTGCATGTTAAAGAAAAGATGTCATAATTTAACAGAACAGGTACAGTAATTTTTTGCTATGCATGTATTTTCAACAGAAGACATTAAAAAAATATTTTTAACTCTTTCATTGTGTCTGAAAGTATAGTTTCTATTTCTGTGAAACATTTCTAGAAAACGTCTTTAAGAACAACTTAAAATTAGTATCTGGGTGTTTTTAAAAGGAATGGAAGAGAAAAGATAAAAAGACGGTTCGGCAGTGTCATAAAAGAAACAAGGAGGATTAAAGGAGAATGTGTCACACACTCAAGCATGCAGAAGCCACAGGCAAAACTTGAGGATTTCAAACACAAAATTTTTACGTAGCTTATTGCACAGTCTTGGTTAAACCTGTGGCAATACTGAGATACTGACATGGAAAGGGCAGCTTGTTTAGGAGGCATTGTCAAAGGAAAGCGAAAGGAGACAGTTGATGCATTTTAGAAGAAAAAATATGCTTCATAAAAATGCCCAAGAGAGAAATATTCAAGAAACTATGGTATAAAAACTAAGTTAGCAGCAAAGGTGCTGTGATGGGAAAGAGCTCTTAGAATTTTCCTACAATTTTTTGCCAGGTTGAAGGGGTGCGGGTGCTTCTAAGCAAAAGCTATATGTATCCAGGAGAGCAAGTTTTTGTGATCACTGGAAAATTTTTATTACAAGGTAATATATTTTTGGGAAAGAAACAGAAAAAAACCTCCAATTTATTGCAACGTTCTAAGTACAGCTTAACAGCCCAGGGAGGGATGGCAGAGTGCAGAGCTACTTTGATGCTGATTTTGATTTCCTATTGGAACTGGAAATTTATTTGGATTGAAACAAAACAGGAAGCAGTAGAGCTCACCATTCAGAGATAAGGAAAAAGTGAAATCAGGGGAATAACAATGAGAAAAATCAGACTTCAAAACTCAAAGAATTGGTAGACAGGATACTTTCAGGAAGATAATGTGCGAGTGAAGGAAGTTTGGAACCTTAGTGATCACCAAAACACATTGTGTCAACGGAACAACAGGAACCTCTTTTTTTCTAACACTTTTCAAACTTTTCTTGTGTGTGTGGTTTTCAGACTGGACATACATAGACAAGTACAGGTAAGAAGACGACAAGATAGAGCAACTCCTGGAAATGGTTAAGCACGTTCTTTCCCCCCACTAAATCTGAGTCATCATTTGTTCTAGGCAGGCTATATCAATCATGCTGTGAATGTGTAATTTTATAAAAAAAGCAAGAAAATATGTATGTGGCAAGGTACATAAAGCTTCACCAAATGCCTGCAGTTTGACAGGGGAAGTTGTTTGCTGCCAGGCAGAACCTTTGATCTTGCACTAAGACATGAACCAATTTTCCCCAATAAGTTGATTTGTGTTAGGTTGTCTGTCAGTAGATCAGTGGCAGGTGATGGGAACTGGATGAGCCACGGCCAGGAGGCAAGTAACTCGGAGGCATGCCGAAGCTGAGGGCAGGTACACATGGAAATTCAAACAGCAAGGCGGGCATCTGTGCTGATGAATGAGTAAGGCTGGAAAAATGTAAAGCACAGCAATGTAGTTTGAAAGGGCAAAGAAAGAAAACATAAAACCTAAGATATTAGGTTTTAGATCTCTTGCTAATGGATGCGGAGGAGCAAACTGTAGAGTCCTCTTAACTTCTTTAACCAATACATGCCCAGCAATCCACTCACTGGCTTTACATCAGACCCCCACTTGACAAAAAGTTGTGAGTTATGTATACGTTTACTGGATCCTACATGATAGCTCCTGGGTGACCATCTGCAGATGTAGACATTGCCCTTGCACTATTCAAGAAACGGTCAGCTACAGCAGACTTAGATTTTGTAGCTGTTTAATGAATTCCTCTAGGCAACAGAAGCTTACAGGCAGAGTACCTTCAATCTAGTCATTCCAGGCACAAACAGCAATGAAGCTGCCATAACACAGACTTCACCAATACCCAAACCAGCCAACACAGGTCATCTACTCACAGGCACCAATGTCAGCAACGTGACACACAGTCATATTTGCCAATGATGGAGAATCCATAGAAAAACTTCCTTACATCCAGATCCTACAGAAGTCCTAATGTCATTTTGTCAAGACTTCCACTTCATTGCTAAGTTAGGAAAGTCTGTTTCAGAGCCAGAAAACTGGAGTTAAGTTATACATCTCCTCTGATCATACAAATACTTTGCAATCATTTATCTGGCAACGGTATATTTAAGACCTGCTTTGGGATGCGGATTAGGTCTTCCAGCAATATTGCTGATGCATGTGCACTAAGGACCACAGGCTAGAGAAATTAAAGCTACAAAGGTCAGAACAGGCAGCCGTGAGTACCTGTAGGTGCTGGACAAAAAGCTGTCAAGCTGTATGCTGGTGACATGTGACATTACCCAGGAGCAGAGGAGAAGAAAAGCCCCAGTGGAGTGGTACAAGATCTCTTAATCTTTTGGGTTCATTACAAACACGTTCAAATGTCACCCACACGTAAACATCAAAAGACTCAACAACTGCACCTCCATTACTGATTTCAAATGTCTCTAACGAGAGACATTTCCCTTCTCCTGCACTTGAAATCTATTCAAAACCGTTAGCTGAGATTGGCTGCCTGGTTGCTTCCCAACACGAGCACAAAGATATCGTACATAACAGGACCATCCAGTTTTATGGGTCTCTTAAAGGTCAGTAAACCCTTAGAGAGGTCCCTTTTCTCCTTGTCCCACCACTCCAGGCTGACTAGAACATTGCTGCTTCTTTTATTCTTTTTTCTGAGTACAAAGATTCTTCACAGTTTCCAGGATTCAAGGTCCTAAACCTCCCTACTTCCTTGGAAGGTCTTACACAAGGTCTTACTGTAGTTATCCCCACAGTGATCCATTATCTTCCTTCACATCAGAAAATTTTATCTCCATGCTCCAGCACCCTACACTTAGTTCTTTGTAAAAGGTGGACTTTTTAAGACCCAGTTTTTCAGAGCAGTTTTGTCTCGTGTTAGGATTTGCACAGGGCCTAGCATCTTCATTGATTAAGGTATACAGACACCAAAGGCCTAAAAGCAAAAAGTTAAGCCACAAAGCATTGTGGCTTCTGTGACAACAGAAATATAACTGTAACCACAGCAGAAATGGGAAATTGCGGTAGAATTGTTTGTTCTGCTCCTGAAGTTCTTGGGATTATGTTCTTCAGATGGAAAAGCATGTAACTTAGTGTATTTTTGAGGAGTAAATCTAATGGTCTTACCTCCAAAACATCGTAGTTGCAGTTTGGATGATATTCAATGTCAAATTCTTGAATGGTGAGTTGAATGCTGCTACCAGGTGCTGTATGAATGTACCAGATGCATTCCCTATTGCTTGGGTATGTGTTGGGGTAGCCAGGGCTGTGAAATGAACCAGAAGAGCCAGAGAGGTCTCCTCCACAACCTGACAACACAGCAAAGCAGCCTGTCAGTGAGGGACTCCGGAAAAACTCACCAACAGCTCTGCAATGAGGACAGGCATTAGCACCCATTTCACGCACAAAACTGTAAGCCAGGCTCAAGGGTGTGCTCTGTCACAGGGAACCAAGGCCTAGCAGGGAAGAGAAACTCAGGAACAGCAGGCTGGACATGCTGACACTGCCCATGCAGTAAGCACTTCACCTCCTGTTTTGGCATGTTCTTCACTGTACCTCAGCATCTCCTTTGACAGCTGAAGAAACTGAGACATAAAGCAAAAAAAAAAAAAAGTGTCATTTTTTGATTGGCTTCTAACTTTGATCAGTTCTAGAAAGCTGAATCAGATCCATCCTCAGCTGTTACTGACCTCAACTAATACACAGACGAAGTTATCACAGGGAGGGCCTTCCATTGTTGTAAAAATGTCATTTCCCTCTGCTTTAGAAATCATAAAATTAAAGACAATACAATTTCCCTCAGCCCACTGAGTATGATTACAAGCTGCCAAGTCACAGTGGATGAACTGGCTTTCTGACATTTGCTGGGTTTAATGTTCTTTTTTATTGAATTGTAACTGTGCAATTGTAAGACCTGCCATGATTGAAAAGTTGTGCATTTTCTTTTCAGATACAAAATTATTGTCCTAACCTCACTCCCCAGCCCTTTGGGTGATTAAGTTCTTGTGTATTATGAGCTAGATTTAAAAAAAAAAAAAAAAAAAAAAGGGAAAGGAAAACAGTTGATCAAATAGAGGTCCTGATTTGACAGCACAAAGCTGCCGAACACCTGAGACTGCAGTTTTATTGTTGCTTTATGGAGATGTGGCAACCGCTGCACTTGCTCCTTTTACTGAGTTCCCAGGATGACGTTCTCCCTGACTTGGTCCCCAGGTGCAGCTATCAGCAGGGTGGGAAGGCACAACAGCCCTTCCCAGTGTCAGAGCAGACTTAGACCAGCTACATTCATGGTGAAGTCTCAGCTTTAGGGAAGCCAGTAGGGTAGGTGTGTACCTGTCACATGCAGAAAGCAAGGGAATTGTGTGCTTGATCTAAATTTACATGTCCATCATTCTGCCTTGCAGCAGCATATTTTTCCTCGCTACATTAGAAGCCTTAAAATACTTCATTTAGGCACTAGCTAATCTTTTGCTTACACAGCTTTTACGGTATCACTCGAGATTTGTAAAGCCCATACTCCATCAATCTCTCTGGCTTCATCTCCAGAGGAAAGGTTCTGTCACATAGCAAAAAAAGCTCCAAAATACTTAATAAAACCATCTAACAAACCATGAGCTCTATATTCCCAGAGGCAAATACTGTAGTATATCAGAAGTCATAAATTGCATTTGAATCAGAACTTTTAGTTATAGATTTTTTTTATTACATAAAACAAATAAATTTCCCCTGTGACCTGCTCAACTAAACCACTAAACCAGATGTGTAAAACTCCCCTAATCTCTATTAAGTCTATACATACTTTGCAGCTTGAATAAGGTATCTCTGGCCATTGCTCTGCTTAACACTTTCTTCAGGAAGCTATAAATTAAGTTCTTCAATTAAATGCAAATACTTTCCTCAACACCTTCTATGACAAACTTGTGGTCATTGAAGGATGGCTGCTAGGCCCCAGAAGCACTTGCCATCACCTCTACCCTGGGGTCTTTCAGCTCCTCGCTCAGATCTTGAGTTTGGCTTTGCCACAGTTGGCTCTAGAACTTCTAGGACTGCAAAATATAAATCTATGAGAGGGAAGAGCAGCAGGTCTCAAAGAGGGTAAAGCAATAAGTAGCTATTTAAAACAATAAGAGACATCTGAATGCAGATGTGAGGAAAACTCCATCCATGACAGCAACGTAACACAGATGTCTGTCAATCACCCGGTACTCACTAGAAAACTACCTTTTAAGCACAAGAATTCTCACCATTAAACAACAATTAGCTATAACTCAGGAAAGCCTTTACACAGCTGAGGTTGACCTCACAGCTGAATTGACACAGGTTTAGTTCTCCCTTTTTTCCCCAGCTTGCTGCACAGGATGCTCCATAACCCTCAGGAGGTTTGTCCTGCAGCCATAGAGCTACACTGTTAAGCTATTGGATAGCTCAACCAAGGACTAAAAGAAGCTTTTAAATGTATCTGAAACCGATCCTGCCTTCTGTCCTCCTGGAAACAGAAAAAGGTAGTGCACTTTCTTCCCCGAGGCCTGCCAGCACCAGTGGGTATAGGTAAAGCCCCTGAAACTTTGATATTCATGAATGTTTCAGGAGAGGCAGAGAGGAAAATAGCTTCAGTGTAACCCACCACCTCATTTTTTTCCCCAGTGACATCAGAAGAATGCTTAATTTTCCTCAAAATAAACCAGGTCATTGAGTTTTTACAACTGGAGGAAAAAAAAGGTGTCGGCAGAGGGAAAGCCTTACAGCTGAATTTGCAGGGTGAGTTGCTCTCTTTTCCCTCAGCAGCAGAAATGACCCAGCCACTGAGGACAGACTTCAGGAGGGGAAAGCCATCGCCAGCCTGAGAAACAGAAAGATTTCTCAACAAACAGTCTCGATGGCTTGGCTCCTGAGGGAACGGGGAGGCAGGGGAGTTTCAGCAGGCAAGAACAAAGCCAATTGCTATTTATCTCAGCCTGAAGAAAGCTGGGAACATTTTAAAACTAAACAGGCAGTTATGACTCAGCTTCTCCTACTAAGAGTTTCCTGATAGCCACAAAAACATGTTTTTTTTATTTAAACCCAAAATGGCTCAGATGAGCTGAAAGCTTGCGCACTGCACTTTGAGGCACAGACCCTTCTTTCTATGCTGCCCTTGCAGGTAGCATTCAGATTACTCACACTCCCTCTCCAGAGTGGTTTATTTTTTCTCTCAGCTGAATCGATATTCTTTGGATGAGGTATGTGAAGCACATGAATAAAAATGTCAAACTGTTGTTAATGTGCCATTTCTTTCCTTCCAACTACAATTTTTCCCAGAAAAGGCTTTTTGTTAAAAGAGAAGTGATTCTTCTAAAGTGCTCCAGTAAAATGGAGACAAAGTTTAGATCTTTGTGATTCATCTCTTATAATGAGTGTGCTCAACTCACGTTAAAAATCATTTATTACTTGTTTCCAAACAGTTTGGAAATTACTTAAGTTTATTCCTAAGTACTCATTGACTGAATGATGAAAAAAGGACTCACTAATCGTTGCAAACGTGTGAACTTCACACCTGAACTATTTTGACTGACCTGCATATGCCAGAAGAAACCTCCATATCAGAGCAGAAACATAATCTCAAAACTCTCTGTCCAGTTGTTAGAAAGTATATATATTACATTTCTGCTCTTATATAGATGAGATAAGGATCAGTTCCATTGTGCTTTTTTGAAAATATAGATGCTAGATGATCTAAACAAACTATTTACAGGAAAACTTCAGAGATTAAAGGGAATGTTCCTAGATTTAAACTCACTTGCTACATCTATGGAAGGCTAAAAGGCAAAAACCCCCTCAAATAATGATAGGAAACTTCTTTTAATGCTTGCCAACACTGTATGTGAAAGATTTGCCCAGCCTTAGAATTACAAAAAAGAAAAAAGTAATTGTCCAGGATTACTGTTTCAAAATGAGAGGTAAACTTTGATTCACTGACTCTGCAGCTTATATTTCAGTTCCCTGTATATTATGGGTCCTTGTTATTAAAAATTTTTTTGTCTTGAATATTTTTAAAAGGTGAATTTAGAATTTGATCCCTGATTTATTCAGTGTCTTCCTAGTTTTCATTAGCCACAAAATTGTTGTAGCATTAGCAATTTCTCTGACTGCATCACAGATACAAGCAAGCAATGTCAGCTAAACTGCAAGTATCTTTCATATCATTTGTGCAGAAAGACAGATTCACTACCTTTAGACAGATTCATTACCTTAAGATATTTATATTGGCTTTGAAATCTGCCTTGGCAGATTGTTAAAATAATCAGATATCCAACAAATTACATTCATATGAATGGTCTTCAGGCTGAAGATGTAGATGAATATTTATTTACATACACATGTGAATATATATATATGGATTCTGCATTTAAAAGGAAAACTTCGGGAGAAATACCAGTCCTGGGCTGGTTTTTTTTGAAGCATACATTTGTACATACTGTATCCTTTTCCTATTTTCTGAGCAAGCTAAGACATACATTTTCATTTGACCTGGAATGTATTTTCTATACAGAAGTACCCTACCTACTTTATCAAGATATTGAAATGGGAAGAGTTTAAATGATGATGTAATCATTTCAACTAATCAAACTTCTTCCATCTCTGACATCGCCATTAAATGAATACAAACAAAAATGTTTACATTTGTCTGCAAAGATCAGATTAGAGTTTGCTGCTATTAAAATACATGAAATTTGTGGCAACAATGAAAAAAGATTTGGTCTTTAGAGGTAAATAAAGATGCAGAAGCAGAACCTACAAATTGCTGCATGACTTCAGCTCTCACTGAAGTAGTGAATAATCTGAAAACATTCTGTTCCTAGTGAAACATATTTAAAAGTTTTTCTCAGCACAAAAATACAGTCTTGCTTTACGTGGACAGATAAGCAGCCAGCTGCACTGTGGAAAAGTTTCTTGCAGCTGAACTGCATGCGGCACATACTCAGTTTGTGCAGACCTCCTTGTAGTCATTTTGAAAACTTCAGCCCTGCAGTTAAACTGAGAAAAAGGGGGAGGGGACATAGTCTTGTAGTAGTGGAAAGGTCCTGGAATTCCCTTGAAAAATGCGTAAAACAACTACCTAACCCAGTGTTAGTTGCTAGGAAATCAGACAACAAATAGAAAGCTCAGGAAACATGTATTTGGTGTCTCTGCTTTCCTGTGGCTAAAATCTAAGTAGTCACTAAAAATTGTGCAAGGGATGATTTACAGACCTTCCCATATTACCGCCTGTCTGGTTAGCAGATGGTGTTCATTAACCAAAGAAGAATCTCTATTCTCATACATAATTATAGCTAAATAGAGAAGTAGTAATCTGTGGAAATCTCTATTACTTGCAAGGTTTATTCATGGGTATGTTTTAGCTATGTGCTAGAAAACCCGCTTCCATGAAGTTTAAAGTGAACTGGCACTATTCCTGTAAAGTCAGAGTTCAGGAAATGAAAGGATTCAGAGTTGCTGCATTTGTTGTGCTCATGATGAAATATTTCAGTAAACATCATCTGACTGTAGCTGCAAGGAGCATGTAAGATGAACATTTGCCTGCACCGCACTAATACTTCTGTGAAGTGTAACTTGGATTTGATTCTGAAATCTTTTGCTCTCAGATAGGCTTAGTGCATAGAATATTATCCAATGGAATAAGTGGGATAATTTTTGTGATGAAGGTTTATGCAAGAGAATTCAAGAGAAATCCAAGAGAAATTCAAGAGAAAACTAGGTTTTTTTCTTCTTCTTCCTGATTTGTTAATCAGAAATTTATTAATCAGTTCCTTCTGTAACTTCGATTATTACCGTTTTTCATCTCCTGATTGCTGATATTTTCTTCTATGTATTTCAGTCTGAAATCAATAAGATGGATAATAAACAAACATAGACTACTGGGACCCAGAAACATGAAGACATATTTAGGCATTTAAACAAGAGCTGAATCCTTCAAGATACTGAATGGCCAGAGTTGCCATATCAGCTGCTGGTGTTCAATGATTGGTTTTTTTAAAAAAAAGCCATTATCTAGCTCTCCAACGTGGATTGAACTGTTTACAGCAAGCATTTCCTGAGAATTTTGCTCCTTATTCTTTTTATTAGTTTAGGGGATGAGAGGAGATTCAGCTTGCTGAACAAAGAGAAGTGAATTCATCCTTAGCTCTCACATGTTTTTAATAGCCAGCCAGCGTGCAGTATGAAAAGCCAGCTCTGAACATGGTAGCACCCACACCTCGAACCAACTGCTCAGGACTTCAGAAGATCAGACCGTAGACTTAACATGACAGAAAGACACTGAAAAAGGAATGGTCATTTTTGAGAACTGAACAAATGGCAGTTTCTCAAAGGCTGCACAAGAAATCAACAACAGAGCTATGACTCAGGCTTAGGAAATCTGGGCCTCAGCTCCCTCACTGACCTGCAATGCAATTTTCTCTCTACCAGTCCTAATGGATGCCTGGCAAATGTCTGCAGTGAATGGTTCCTGCATCCTAATCTAATCTCTGTTTCTGTTATGCTTCCCTGAAGAACAAATAATTTCACATTTTTACCCCCTCACACACAGAAACCCCCAGTCTTTAGTTAGTGTATACTTTTTAACAATTTTCATCTTATGAAAATACACATCCAGACTAAAAAAAATTTCTCTTCTCATGAACCAAGTGGCTTTTTCCACACCCCGTCCATCACTAATTTCTTAGCAAAATCCAACAGAAGGAAGATGACAGTGAGGGAAAAGAGCAGTACAATACTTTAGGGCTACATAATACTTTTATGAATGGTGTGCTTTGCTTCTTTTCTAAAGGGGGAAATAATATCACAGAAAACAGAATAGCGGCTGCAAATTTTGACTATGCTGGGAAGAGCCAATTGAATTTATAAGCTCTACTGACAACCAAACAGTCAAATGAGTAAGCTTCCAATGAAATGCAGATGTATATATAAAGAAGTTGGCTCCTACATGCACATTGCTCAATAAAGTGACATGTCTAGGAAATATGTGTCTTCTCAGATAGTGGCAGTTGTCACTGGTGTAATTTTGCACTGAAAGACCTTTGCCCTTTTGGCCTCATGATTTTATTTTTTTTTTAAGGAAAGTAATTCAATTGGCATGACATCTTTGCAGTATCCAGACTGTTACCAAGAGTTTGTTCTTTCTCAAAGGGCCAATATATGCCTCAAAATGTATTTGCCTATATTAAGCTTCCTAGCAAACAGCAGAAGTGGAATGAGCACCTTGCAAATTTAAGCTTTCCTCTGGTAAATAATACTCTGGAGGCCTTGGCTTCAGAAGAAAACATTAGGGATTTAGCAAAATCAATCCTAAATCTGGCCTCATCAATGAAAACCCCTTAGATGAACAGTGTTATTTTAGAACCATAACCACTTTTAAATTGATTTTTTTGCACTAAAGAATTCCATCTAAGTTAAAATAATATAGGACACTTTTTAGCATAAATACCAGCACTGTCCTAAGATCAGTTACTAATTCTATCTTGGAGAAAGTCTAAAGACTGGGTGTTCCATTTAGCAACCCAGATCAGCAACTCAGCAACTGAAAAGAAGTGGCTCAGCAACTGGAAAGATCAGATCATAAATGTTGCAAAAATCAGAACACTTCATAGTTGTGTTATGAGCGGCAGGAGGGGCTCCTCACATCAGTTATCAGTGAGGTAAGCTTTTGGCTTTTAGGGATCACCTCACAACTGCAAGCAAAGTTGCCGGAAGGAGCATCTGAAGTGAACTGTATCAAGCACATGGTGGCAAATATAAGTGCTGCTCTCTTTTATCACCAAAACACGTGAATGTCTTTGATATATATTTCATAGATGCTTCACAGCTGCCAGCTAAGGAGCACATGGACAGCCTGAGAAATAATTCACAACAGCTTGAACTCTAGAGCACCCATTTGTCAGCTGAGCAGAAGTAAAAGCTCTTCTCTCAGCAATATATATAGCCTTGTAATTTTCTTGTCAGATGAGATGTTACCAGATCCAGGTTTAGATTCAGTGAGGGATTTGTCCTCGAGGAAGAGGGGACCTGAATGCTTCATTCTGAAATACCCAGCTGAAAAGCAGTATCTCCTGATGGGTTCCCCTAGATGAGGAGACTTTCTCCAATAAGGTATTTTTGTGCATTTGAAAGATTTGCAGAAGGCGGAAACTAATATGGCACCCCAACCATGGGAATATATTAATTTTATCCACTCTAGGGCAATGGCATATGCCCAGACAACGTAGCCACCAAGGGTAAGACAAAGACCCATATTTGTGCATGACACCGATCAAGAAAAAAAGGAAGTTCCTGCAATCAGGAAAAAGATGGCAACAGTTGTCAGCTCTGGAGGAATTTGTTCTCAGATAAGATACTGTCAGGAGTTGCAGCTGTGATGTTCAGAGCCAGCAATGACATTCCCAAAGACTCATCTGAACTCACAGATCCTTTGCTGCTTAGACACAGCCCCACATCAGCAGTCTGAGCCCTGCACAGTGTTAGGCTGCAGTTTAGTGTCCAGGAATTAACAGAGGGTCAGTGCTGTCTGACAGAGATGTGAATGTGTCAGTGCAGAAAAAGAGTGCATGGGGGTGGGAGAGGGCTGCAGAGTCCGGGAAGTGTTTGGAACGGGACGTGGAGGGAAAGCAAAAGAGTGCTTACCATGCAGGCAGATTCTGGAAAGCTCTGAGAGCTTTAGAAAAGGAAGTTAACCCAGCACCATGGCTACTGTATGGGCTGATGTCATCTGGCTGGCCATAAAAGCCTCCACTTTTTCTTCTTTTGTGCGGTCCCAGAATGACATCACCTCGAAGCACAAGAACATACCTTTGTGCTGCAGCACTTCCCCTGCTGGCTCCTGCCACACAACTCACTCCTCCCACACATGTCCCTCCTTTGCCCAGAACTGCTCCTTGACCTCCGCTGAATGCAAAACACCACTGTCTAGTCGACGAGAGCCCTTTGGGAGCCCGCAAACGCCGGCAGTCTGTGGCAGCACAGAGGAGCCCCTATTCAAAGGACGTATAGCATGTCCTACACCTCAGCAACCCGCAGTGGGGCCTCTGCAGCCGATTTCAGCTGCTTTACAATGCTGTCAGAGCTGAATGGTGTGAACCCATTAGACAGCCAGGGCAACTGTGGCGATTTAATTATTTTCAAGGTTGGATCCTCTCTGAGGGGATACACAATAGCACACAATTTAATCTTGTTGCAGTCAGATATTGCTGTTAAATAAGTAGAGTTACATTTGTAGCCTCACTTGTGAAGAAACTGCAAACATAGTTTGCAGCTGTACAGTCATGAACAGATTTGTTTATAATTGGTGTGCATGTTTGCTTATTTAATGAGGCCTGTGACGGTCTTTGTGGCATGCAAGAACAAGGGAAAAAACACCCAAAGCACATTCTGGCCAATGTTATTTCATGCAGAGAAGGGGGGTGGGGTGCAGCTAGAACTGAATGTGCTACCCAACAAAATAAGCACTACTAAAGAAAACTAGAGAGAAGCCTGCACAGAAAACCCAAGTTCGTAGGAATGGGGCAAACTGAGGACCAAGTGCTTTCTGTTGGAAAGACCAAGTCACCCAAGTCACAAGATTCCCTTGTAATAGCTGTTCAGTACAGAAATTTTGCAGATGCTGCTCATCCCTGTGCCTACTCCTGCAAATGAAAGCATATTTTACTACCAGCTCTCTCTCTCTGATCAGATGATCTTCAAAGATGTGCCTGTACAGAGAAACATCCACTGAGAAAGTATTCGAGGAATTATGTGAGGAAATGCAATGGTTTTAGTGCTGTAAAGGGTTTTTTCTACCTAACTGACTTAAGGCAGCATAAGTTGGGACTCCATTACACATACAGGGAAGAAGAAAGTATACCTCTGCACAGGAAAGCTGGGTTAACCTACCATTAACATGCCACAGCATCTGGAACCCACTTCTAGTGTTCAGTCCATCAGAATAAAACACCACGTGAAGGCTGGTCCCTGTAGTGCTTCCTGCCAGTGGAAGAGACTGCCCACAGAAAGTGCCTATCAGGTTGGATTGTACATCAGGCCCATCATAGAGCTGAAATGAGACAAAGAAAACATCCCAGTGAGTAAAAAGCAGCTCCCTAATTCTTAGTGTTTTGTATAGGATGTCAAAGAAACAGCAGTGAGACTTCTTGCACAGGATGTCTTTGCACAGCAATATCAGCTCTGGAAAGCACAGAAAGATTTGGATGAAATGATGAGCAAATATAACTGCAGTATGTCTTTAAACTTGGGTGCACACTCTGTACAGTAGGCAGGTTTTGCTGCTTCTGTTTTGGTGTGTATTGGGGGTTGCTGGGGAAGAAGGTAAAGGACAAATGACAGTGAACTGAAATAGAAAATAAAGGGAATGTCATGGGTCTGACTTGACTGTACATCTAACATGCTCAGTGCCTCCAAACCTCTCACTGACAACTCTGTTTACATTTTCCTTTCTTTAAGACTGCATTGAGCTGCTTTCAGGACTGACTGGACCTATGATGGAGAAAACAAGGCAGTCAGCACCACCAGGGCCTGCCAGAGTATGAGGAAATACTGAAAATCAAAAGCAAAGTAAACCCTCAAAACCCACAAGCCAAACTTCACATGTGCCTATTTATTGTTTCATGTTCTTGTGCTAATGTCTTGCTTTGGAGGAGAAATGGACTGAGTCATACTTACTGAACTTTTGTTCTTAAAAATACTTCACATTTGATCTCCTAGCCGTATTCTACATGATTTGATAGTGTGTTGGTAAATGTCACCAGCCTGAAAATCTTTGTTTCCCAAATACAGATCAGAAATCCTCCACACATAGTTATCCCAAAAACCCCCACAAAACAAACCAAAAAAACAAACAAACCACAAATAAAATGCTAAGGAAATATACATGCATTTAAATCTGCAAGTTTAAAGTTACTCATATACTGACATTTAAATGAAAACAATGCATCTTTTGATGGGGTGATAGTGATACTTGGAGCTTTTATGCCTCTTTACTTTAGTTGTCACCAAAAAGGTTTAAAGGGTCTTTCAAATCCTATTTTTGTGAATCTTTTCATGTTTAGTAAATCCAACTCAATATGCATCCATGTTCCTCACCAAGTATCTTGAAGTTCAGTGTCATTTTTCAGGGCTGAGGTGTGTATTTTTTGCAAAATTGGTAAAAATTAGACTTTTTAGTTAAATTGCCCTTGACATATATCAGATCATCAGTTGCTGTCAAAGCTAGCAGTTGCTTTATTATTTCTACTTTTGTTGCTGTGATTCTGAAAGTTTAGAAAAACAGCAAGCCTTGTGCTTTTTTATCATTTTGCCACAGTTCATCTGATCTTCTGTCTCACAGAGCACATCTTCCTAACACAACCCAGCAAATTACTGGCAGAGAAACAATGTCTGAACATTCTCATTGTGAATTTTTGGCACATATCCTTTCAGAATTTCAGCAAAAACTTTTCTCTGTTCTGAAGCCATCACCGTAAAGTTCTCTGTGCAAAGAATCAAATCTATGATCTCTAGAAAAACAGCCAAGGTTTATTTATCTTTGCTCTCCATTCAAATCTCTTTTCCAAATATCTCTTATCCCAATAAGAATTCTTCTACACTCAACACCCACAGTATGGAAGTATATTACAGTAAGTATTGATTAACCATGCTAGCTACTAATTTTTTTGCACACATTTTCTAGCAAATGCACATATGGGAATGAGTAATTAAATCTGCAGCTTTTCTGTTCAAGATGTTGGTCCTGCAGAACCTTCTGAAATCTCATTATTGATTTAAGGCATAGTTGGGGCCACGAAATCTACTCAAATGGTCTCAAATCCTCAAGCAGACAGTCTAGTTTGAATGTCTTTTTTTTAAATAAAAAATGGACTGGATGTAGTTCAGCCAGAAGTTAGGGGTAAATTGGAGGAATAATTCTGCGGTAATATTCCATGGCCATTTTATGGTTGGTAACCATGGATCTTCTTTGTTTTCAGTCTTCAAATGCAACGAGAAGCTCTGAGCATAAGAAGTGTATGGGAACTTGAGAACTACCACTCCATTTGGTATGATTTCTCTAGATGAGATCAGAAAAGCTTGGAAGTTTCTAATTGCAGACCCATTACTGGTAGATCTTACAAAGCCTTGATCAGATGTGGCTGATAATAGATATGAAATTGTCATAAAGGTTAGATGTTAAGAAGTTGAACACCCATATGTATTCTTTCCAAATGTAAAGCCTGAAGGACCACCTGACAGACAGATGAGCTGTCCCATGTCCAGCATTACAGTTATGACTTTCCTCCAAGCCAGGCTGAGAGCTTTACACATTCTTTTATGGCTTAAGTTCATCAAAATGAAATGAAGTCAGATCTAATTAAATTTTTAATAGTACTAATTCCTGCGGCAGCTTTGGTATATACTACTCATATTTCTGTGGCTTCAAGCCATGGAAATCTTACACCAGAAAAATATGAATGAGGAAGAATGAATCAATGCAGAGATCACGAATCTGTGCTTTGAATAGAAGCAAAAACTATGTTAAGATATTCAATGATCAGCTGCTAGCTTTAGTGACTACAAACGAGAAACGTATCTACAGAACTATGGACTAAATCACACCCAGCAACTTTCAAATCCAAACAAACAAAAAAACCCCAAACCAACTTCCATGAGTCTCCTGCAACTTTGATTCAATGACTGTTATTTTTATCTAAGACAGCAAATGTCACATTTCTGTGTAACTTCCCCTGAAAATAGTCATCAGTTTTTCAAGACACAAAGAATGGTTACTATGGCAATCCCTTCATGCGTGCTGCCTCGTGGGTCTGGGTTCAGAGCAGTTTCGCAGGAAATTCAAGTGCCTGGCCAGCTGTAACTCATTAAGAGAGGCAGAACCGCGACTGCTAGAATTCCGAGCTGTCTTTCACTTCTAAATGAAGGGAACAGCTGTGTGTTTTCACAGGGCATTTTGAACTTCTCAAACCACATTTTGCTCTCACACAAATATGGGCAAGTGAAACTGAAGCTGAACGCAGATCTCTTGAGCCACAATTTCTGTTCTGATCTCTGAGATAGTACTTCTCATTTAAGGGCCTGCTTTGTCAGCTATGCTATCCTAAACTGCTGCAAATCAAGGGAAGGTTCTTCCCCAGGCTATATAAAGCAAGGTACTCCCTTGGACTGTGCAAGACAATCGAATTTCAGGGTGGTTTATTAGCCACTCTGCTCCTATACTGACTCTAGAAATCATGGGTTGGGCTCCCTCCCAGCTCCTCAAGGGAGGAAAGTGCTTGCTGTGTAGATATTTGTTTCATAATTTATTTACTTGTTCAGACCTTTTAGCCTCCATCAGAAATTCCAAGGGCTTCGTAATGATTTTGGCAGACAACGCAACAGGGAAAATATGCAAACAGCTGCAGCACGCATTCAGTTCCTTAGCCTCCCCTCCTTAACCGAAGCAACTGCTCAGCAGCACCCGAAGTTCATCACCCATTTCATCAGCCTGCACCCCGGCACTGGGCCCATGTGGGGACGTGTTACGTTCAGACAAGTTATTAGGCATGAACTCATTAATTGTTACAAGCAACTCCTTATCAGGCTTCCGAGGAGCAAACGTATAGGCTGACACAAACGTAAATGTAAAAAGGGGAGGCACTAGCTCTTTAAGGGATGAATCAAGATGTGGGACTGCCTTGCAGTAAAGTGGCAGCTGAAAACCACCTGTCTGTACATTGACTGGAGTGGGGCTGGGACAGCAGAGCTAGCCACGGCTGCAGGAAGCTTGGGTACCTCTCCCAGAGGAGGCACAATGGTCACCAGTATTACGTTTCGGCTTTTTTGACTCTTCATCCTGAAAATACGTCTCTGACGCCAGTGACGATGCTCTGGAGGACACCTCTCTTTGGAGGAGCAAAGCAAAACGGCATAACCTGTGTCACAAAGAAACTCATTGCCAGAACTGGAGCAAGGGCTCAAGGACTGAGCTGACCGGAAAATGAAGTTTCTGCTGCATGGAAAGAAATAAAGATCTCAAATAAATGGGAGGAAAGAAACTTTGAACATGTTCCATTTGGGCATACTTGAAGCAGGGACATTTTTCTACCCAAGCATCTTGTCAAGTTTATTCCTTCTTGCGAAGTGAGACTGGTAGGAGCCTTCCAGACAGGTACTGGGACTCCATCTGTTCAGTTTTCTGCCAGGAAAATTACTTTTTTTAAGGGTAAAATTTTAGTTTTTCTCCCAGAGAACTTTATTTCTGTGACAAGGCACAATTTTTCATCAGGAAAATCATTATAAAGGAAAATTCCTAGGCTAACCTGCTATGGGAAAAAAGCTCTTACATACATCGGTTATAGGTATAACACAATCTCAGTCCAGGGGTGATGGAGTCTTCAAATACAAACTTTCAGTTTCATATGAAAGGAAAATCCATCCTATGAATACTGACAATTCCCATTCTATTGTACTGTAAATAATTTTATTATCAGATTACATTAATTCAATATATAATTATGAGTCATTATATCAATAACTGTCTCAATTTGAGTCTTGAAACTCCCAAAGCCTTTTTACAAGCACCAGCAGCAACAGCCCTGGGCTGCATTTGCAGAAATCAGTGAATGAGGTTATGTCTTGGATCAGACCAGAGTATCTGTGGTGTCCCACCCATTGCTGGACCCTGTAGGACATCCTCAAAGAGCTATTCTGACACACACAAGTATTCCTTTCCTCTTAGAAGTGGTAAACCTGATATAGGATTGTTCTGAGTGACCTAAACATTAGAGGCAGTGATTACAGGTAGCCAAGCAGCTCTTCCTGAATGAGTCATTTTTTTGAAAGGAAACTTTGATGGCATCGCAACAAACATGTTATCAGGAAAAAAAAAAGAATCAAAAACCATACAATATACTCACCATTCACATAACAGAATGTACTCCAAAGTGAAATCACAATTAATTGTTAAAGAAAGAATCAACACAAATAAAAGCAATCAATTTCCAAGCAACACATTTCCTTCTAGAAGAACTAGAGTGTAAGCTTAAAAAGCCTGCAGGTCTGTCAGAGAAA